CTTCCCCCGATGCGGTAACCTGTACGTCCAAGACGGTTTCCGCACACACCCCGAACATGCCTATGCCGCAAATGCTCCTGGCGACGCGAAAGCGTCCAGCGCCCCCGGTGACATCAATGATTTCCACCGCGCACACGGCCACTCCCACGAGGTGCTGCTGAGGACTACGGCGATGCAGCAGGGAACGACGCTGGTCGGCGAGCTCCGGGAGTGCCTGGGGTGCTCGACGGCGAAGGGGCTTTTCAAGCCCATCCCCAACAAGATGTCGACCCGAGCTGCTAAGAAACTGCAGCGAGTTTTCGTGGATTTGAGTGGAAAAGCTAGGGTGCAGAGCTTGGGGGGGAAGTGGTAGTACTTTCATTGTCAAGGATGATTACACAAGGTGGAACCGTGTCTATTACCTGAAGCACAAATCAGACGTAGCTGAGGCATTCGAGAGGTAACTTGCAGAAAACCGGGCAGGCGGTGCCCCGTCCGATGTCATGGTCGTGATATCTGACAACGGAGGAGATTTTTTTGAGGGAGAGTTCGGCAGGGTGTGCCGGAAGTACTGCATCAAACAGGAGTTCACCCCCGCACACAGCCCAGAATACAACGGTGTAGCTGAGAGAGCACTGGGTCTGATCAAGGATGCAGCACTAGCCGCCCGTATCCAAGCGCCAACTCTCTACCCCGGAGCACCGAACTACCCCTCCCTTTGGGCCGAGGCCATAGCTTGGGTATGCAACGCCTTGAACGGCACCTCCACCACATCTAACCCAGAGAATAAATTGCCGTACGAGATGTGACACGGGCACCCTCCCCTGCCGGGGGCGACGTACCCGTTCCTCAATCCTGCCGTATACAAGGTCAAGCGCACGCACAAGTCCGAGCCAAAAGCCCAAAAGTGTTCTACCTCGGCCCTGGAATCAACACCAACCGTGATTGCGTGCACATCTTGAACGAAAAACGCCAAGTGATCACAACTCGCAACTTCACTTGGCAATCCGTACCCGCTGCCCCCACCGCCCTGCCCCAGTCGCAGCCTCCCATCGCAGAGGAGGAAGAGGAATTCGCGACTGAGGAGGACGAGGTTGGGGAGGGCGCGTCGAACCAAGGTGGAGGGAGGGCGGAGAGAGAACCTGTGGATGGAGGACCAGGTTTCAACCTTGGCACGACGGCAGCCCCAGGGCCCGCGGGGCCGCCCGCGCGCGCAGCGCCGGCGGCACCGCCGGCCGCGCCCCAGGAGTCGGGCGCGGGCGACGCTGGCGATGGCGCCCCCTCGAGCAGGGAGAGCGCGAGCGTCGCCCCATCTACCACGTCGACCGGCACGGCCGATGTGGGCGGCGGCGAGGACGACCGCCGCAGCAGCAGCAGCCGTGGTAGCGGCGGCAGCGACAGCGACAGCGGCAGCAACAGCGGCAGTAACAGCGGCAGCACCAGCGGCAGCGGCAGCGACAGCGACAGCGAGACGGATCTCCCGGCGCTCCGCGGACCAGAGGCCCGGCGGCTCGCCCGCTTCGTCAAGCCGGCGGAACTCACCAGCCGCCGCACTAGGGAGAACCCTCGCCGAAATCCGAGGTACGAGTCGCCCCCGTCGCCG